ATCACATATACATATACATGTATACGTACCTACAATACACATGTACAGAAAATGTGTATCAAGACACACAAAAATCCTAATGGTGGTTACTTACAGTTGGTAGGAACTGCAGGTAATCTTTATCTCATTTGTAAAAAGTTTCTATCCATTTGTAATTATTTTTTCAAGAAATATTTTAAAATTAGTATCTTTAAATAAAGTCCTAAGAAAATATCCAAAAAGATGTATTATTCTTACCTCTGATCAGTTCTTTGTACATTCATTCAACAAATAAACCTCAGTTCAATGGTCAAATGATATAGAATGAATTAATGTTATCTACAAAATCCGCTGTCACTATGGAAAAAAAAATCTACTGATTTTCATACAATGATTTAGCAGCTAAATCAGCAGAACTTTTAACTAAGCACCACTTATCAACTTTCTAGGCTATGGGACCTAAAGTAAATTGTCGTTGGCACAAGTATCAGATATTCATTCCTTTCAAAATCATGTCCCACCAATCATTAAATAATTTTATCTTCACAAAGTCCTTTGTTTTATTTTGTTTTGCCAATTGGGATTTTTGCTTTGTAAGTGTCTTTTAACAAAGTAAAAATAAATTCAGATCCACTTATACAAATTCTCCTCTTAAAAATAAGCATATTTTATAACAATACATGTTTCTGAATTCACATTCCCTGAAACAAAAACTTTTCTCTCCCCTAGGATTGTGCCACACTAAACAATTTTGAATGATTCTGAATCATATTGTCACCGGAAAAAATATTCACTGTTATTTTATTTTTATACCTGGGTATTAGGAATTCCAAAATGCCTATCATATCCCTCTATGCTAACATTTTGTTAGCTGGAAGAAGTATGCTAGGTTCTAATAATGCTCCTAAGTGAGGTTTTATGACTTTTAAACACAACTTCTCTAAAAGCAGACATTCATCTAATATGCAAGATGTGACGATAAAGGAATTGGCCTGATATTATTCTTTTTGTTCATAAAAGCATCAGAATTTACATAGGAAATGAATGTTATCCCCTCTGAGGGGATAAGCAGTCCCCTCTGGGACTCTCCAGACAAACCTTGATGATGTTTGCCTTTGTTTAGAACAATCTTAGGACCTTTCTTTTGGACTTGCCTTTACTCTGTTCCTTCATTTTAAAAACAAATGTCTTTAAAGATAGCCAAGTGTTGCCCTTTAAAGTTAGATTCGATCTTCACCAATAGCTAAAACTAATCTAGAGTAGGAGATGGGGTCCTGGGTGCACTGGGTAGAAAAATATTGGATGTGACAAAAGGATTAGGGGTAAGGCAGTGTGACACTCTAAATTAGGGGTGATATTTTAAATATTCAGCAATAGGTTTGGAAGGACACAGATCAATCAGAATAGACGTCACTGAAGCAAGGTACTAGAGGGCTTTGCCCAAGATCCAAGTATTAACTCTTTAGTAGCAGGATTGTGAGTCCTTCTAGAGGGTCCAGTAGGGGAAACTGTAGCGGTGGGGATGAGTGGGCACTTGGGGGTTTCTGAGCTGTGACATTAACCAACAAATAAAGGAGATTTGGGGTATTTTAACGTCAGCTGAATATTGGTCCTTCCAAAAAGTAAAGAGGCCACTGCTGTTTTTGTGGGGCTTGGGCATCGACTCTGAAGGCACTTGCCCAAAAGTTGTTTGAAGGTGTTGAAAGCAATAGCAGCAATATTGGAATAAATGCATAGGATCTCAGGATAATGATTTTGAAGGCATTGCTTATCTAAATATTTAGACTCTCTAAATTCATTAAGAACAGGCACCATACCTTTTTTAACTTTTTCTCACTAGCACCTAATACAGTGCTTTAGATATAGTAGCTGCTTAATAAATATTTGTTGAATGAATGGCATGTTTGTTAAAGAAAAATAACTTCCAAGCAAAATCTCATCTTTAAGGCTTTTAAACATTATTTTTATTTTTTAGATCCATAAACTTTCTTTATTTTATTGGAAATAATTCTAAAAATCTCTTTGAAGAAAGAAATCCACCAATATTTATTCCTGACTCAAAACCTTTTGATAGCTACCTACTTCTTTCTGGAAAGCAGTCATTTACAATGATCTTTTAATTATTACGTAACTTGAAAAGCCACAGGCAGCTGTGAATCTGTCTTTAACTCCTGGAAGTTCCTATTATTTCTAGCCAAAAAGAGTCTTCCTTTTAGCACATAGGATTTGAGCTTTCCTAGGGTTAGGGCTACTCTACTGTGGCTGCTGGCCAATATTTATCAGGCAAAGGGTATCTAGTACTGTGCACTTCATACATCAGTTCCTTCTCCTAACCACCCCTTTCATAGTTGAGGAAATTCAGCCCCAGAATAGCTCTGCAACCTCCCCACATTTACACAGCTAGCAAATGGTGAAGGTACCAGTTGAATCTAAGCAACTTGATTCCAGGGCTAAGCACCCTTGACCAACACAGTATAATGAGCAGGAGCCGGTTCATCTTCAATCAACAGGTAGAAATTGAAGGATTTCCTGTACCTGAAAAGTACCTCAGAGCTCCTATTACGTTGACGCTTAGAAACGAGCTCTCAGAAGGAAGACTTCATTGTACGTTCACCTTACAAGTGTTTACTGAACACATACATACGTAGGCAGTGTTCTAGGTTCTAGGAGGACAGGTAAGAGAACCACAATCTCTTTCTGCTTGGTAAATGCAGAACCTAAACTTACTCAAGTCTCCTAGGGCTCCTTTTTCCTCTACTACAAATGGGGACAAAAACTGAACCCCTGTATTCAGTTTGAATTCTGGATCCTAAGCAATCATCATCCTCGATGAATTGCAAAACAGACATATCTCTAGAAAGCAGGAGATCTACTGCTTTCTTCTTTCTGGATTCCCTAGGGGAGTATTCATTCGATCTCCTTTGACATCCTGTCCTTATAAGGAAAGCAACAGGGGCAGGAGGAGGTGGTGGAAGTTAGGATTGAAGCACATAGACTATTTGAAACACAGATGATATATAAACATTCCATTGATGTGGCAGCATTTTCCTGTTACTGCAGGATTCCCCTGTATAATGCTGATACTGAGCCAGTGCCCCACAGGCTAATTGTTTCATATATGAATTTTATGTTTTAGGAGGCATTTCTAGTTATACAGTGGTCTTATGTGTTACCATAATTAGAAACAATAGAAACATTAACTGAACTTTGTACCTTTCTTGAACGATTAAGTTGTACTTTAAAGGGAGGTTAATAAATAACCAACGAGAAGGCTATCAAAGAACTAACCCTAGAATAGTAAACTGTACTAAATGTCCCAAGCAAGCTGAGAGATTAAAAAACACTAACTTTTCACCAAAAATTATCTCCCATGTGCTGAAAAGCTGGTCTGCTATAAGGGAGTTGATGACTCCACCCAACCCCTGCGCCAGTAAGATTTGAAGAGAAAATAAGAATTTCTAACAACAACAACAACAAAATAAAGAGTTCTTTCCATGTTTTCCTAAAATCCCAAATCCCCAATATTAGAGTCATCCTAATGTTCTCAATTATTTATTTTTAATTTTTTTTATCGCATGAGGCGTGGCCTTAAACCTCCCTTTTGGAACAAAGTACAAAGTAAACTTTAAGAAAGAAGCAAACAGACAAACAAATACGTAAATCGATAATTGAGAGGATTTCACTCTTTCACCTGAAGATTTTATCCTTGTGAAACTACAACTTCCTTTGGGAGAGAGAGTTGGTGTTTTAAGCGGTGTTCAGTCATTTTCACTTTAGTGTAAACAAGTACTTGAGTCTTTCTTAAGAACAGATTTTGCTAGAAGGTAAAAAGTGATATTTTTCCCCCTTTTCTGAGAGGCAAAGATTCCAGAATATTCCTTACTCTGATTTTGGCCCAAGAACAGGACTGCTCTACCTTTAAAACTGAATGCCAAAATCTTTCTCTCTCAAAAGTAAAACGCTGGGGTATACCCATCTTCTATTATTTGGAAGAGAAATTATATTTAAATCTCAAATTTAAAGGAACTTCTCCCTCAGACTCCTTTCTTACATTCAAAAGCAAATAATCAAGTTAACCATCTTGTAGTCACATCACCCATAAGAATAAAATGTTAGAGCATTTTTGTCAAAGAGATTACGGAAAATCAGTCCCTTTATCTCATGGAGTGTTTCTGAATTTTCTGGTCCTTTAAGCTTTACCCTCTCCTGTGTTTAAGTCAAAAACATAGATCAATAATACATGATGTTCAGACTTTGCAATTTCAGGCTCAAGAATGATATGGAGCATGAAAATGGACATTACAACACACAGTTGTGCTTCACGGAAACTATGGTGTAATATGCTGAAAAATAGCTTCAAGTCATAAAAATGCAATGCACCGACCCCCCGGAAAGAATTGTGTCCACGGGTCCCGGAATGATGTCTGTTGTCCAACACCCTCACTCCACGTCTGAGCCCTTTTCACTCCATGTGGTTTTTCCCTCAGGGATCATTATTGGGTTTCATAATGATTAGTTTGTGTATGAAAAAGGAAAGCTCAAGACTATAATTTCATACATACTTAAAAAAAAACATATAAAGAAAATTCAGTAGCGAGACAAGTAATCTCCTGGAGCCTGCTGTGACCAAGAGTATACCTGTGAGAGTGACAAGCTGAAAAATGAATGTCTCAACACCCAAGGGGACAAACCACAGAGAGGAAAGCTTTGTGTCCCTGTAGCTTAGGGAGCTCTGATCTCCTGGTCCCTGCTTCAGACATAAGGAGAGCACCCACAGAGAAGCAGACAGTTGCTGGTAAAGCAAGTCAGAAATTCAGTGATAGGGAAATGGGGAATACTTCTTTTACTTTTGGCAAACACATACTTAAAAAGATACTTATCAGTAAAGACCTAAGTGAAGGGTAGATTCAGGTAAAGTGGGGTTCTGAAAGCAAGGCCCAGAGGTAAAAGGTGGATTAAGCACAGAAAGTCTGGAGGAGGAGTTAGGGCCACATTGGGAGTCAGGAAGGCAGGGCACATACCTGGTGAATGGTTCTTCAGCACCACACCTGCAAAGGCTCCTTTCTGTACAGATTCCCAAGTCCTGTCACCTGGAGAGGCAGCATTGCCTAGAGAAGAGAAAAAGCTGGCTTTAAATCCCGGGTTGGCCCCTCACTCTCTGTGGGACCTTGAGCCAATTACTTAATAGCTACGCACCTCAGTTTCCTCATCTATGAAGAGGGATAACAATAAGAGAATCAGTACAGTAAAACCCTGGACAACACTGCTTGGCACATAACAATTACTCAATAAATGTTAGATTTTATTATATTCTTATCAACAGCCATGTAAACATATTACTTCCCTTTTTTTTTAATTTTTATAATTTTATTTATTTATTTTTTGGCTGCGTTGGGTCTTCGTTGCTGCGTGCAGGCTTTCTCTAGTTGTGGCGACTGAGGGCTACTCTTCGTTGCAGTGCACAGGCTTCTCATGGTGATGGCTTCTCTTGTTGCAGAGCATGGGCTCTAGGTGCGTGGGCTTCAGTAGTTGTGGCACATGGGCTCAGTAATTGTGGTTCATGGGCTCTAGAGCGCAAGCTCAGTAGTTGTGGCACACGGGCTTAGTTGCTCTGTGGCATGTGGGATCTTCCCGGACCAGGGCTCGAACCCATGTCCTCTGCACTGGCAGGCGGATTCTTAACCACTGTGCCACCAGGGAAGTCCCATATTACTTCCCCTTTTAAAAAAAGTTTGAGGGCTTCCCTGGTGGTGCAGTGGTTGAGAGTCTGCCTGCCGATGCAGGGGATACGGGTTCGTGCCCCGGTCCGGGAAGATCCCACATGCCACGGAGCGGCTGGGCCCGTGAGCCATGGCCGCTGAGCCTGCGCGTCCGGAGCCTGTGCTCCGCAATGGGAGAGGCCACAACAGTGAGAGGCCCGCGTACCGAAAAAAAAAAGTTTGAAAATGTGTCTCACCCCCTCCCCTGTACTTATGGTCTAATGAAAAGAAAGGGTAGCTTGTTCACCCTCCCTTCCTTTGGTGGAATAAATTGAGGAGTTTTCTACATTTTTATTTATATTCATCTCTGTATTCCTCTATATACAAAAAATAAATCCCTCAAAACAACAGCATACAAATTAAGATCTGTGTGTCTTTTAGAGTAGACAGATGAGGAGGGGAGAAGTTGGGAGCCTGTGTTCCTCTGAAGACAGAAAATTAAGAGGTAGAAACTGGGAAAAAGAAGCCTGTGGGAAGAAAAAGGGAAATAGCAGAAATAAGTGAGCATTGGTCTCTAGATTTTAACTGGGAGGTACATTTGGCCTGATAAAGACCAAGCTGTCCTGCTCAATCATCTACCCTAGTGATTCTCAACTGAAGGCGGTAGTAAGCTAAGAGCAGGGAGAAATGAAACTAATGACATTTGCTGGACATGTGAACATTAAGGCTGAATACAAATTCAAGAATCGCATGATTCTTGTAAGAGTCACATATGTGACCTTCTTGATTGAGAATGTCTGTTGAAAGGGGCATATACGTGATTTTCACGTACATTCCCTCAGTCAATAGCTTTATTCTAACAAGCAGTCATCATCTCTAAACTGAACTAAAGCAGCAGCCTTCTAGCTGGTCTTCCTCATTCCACTCTTAACTGACTGTGGTGATCTGTACACAGTCTGAGTTATCTTTGTAAAATACAAAAGTATATCACTGCCTAATCAGAACTTATCACACTTAGAATAAATTCAAATTCCTATCATGGGTGTGTGAGATTCTGCATTATCTGGCCTTGCCTTTTTTTTTTTTTAACCTCCTTTTTTCCCCCCCAAGTTTTCATTACAATGGTACTACACTGACCTGCAATTCCTCAGCTTATTCTGACCTCAGGGCCTTTTCACTGGCTATGTCTCTCCCTGAAGCTCTTCTCTCACAACTGCTCAGGTCTTGGCTCAAATAGCACCTTCTCTTCCAAACTACCCCATCTAAAGAAGAGTCCCCCAACAGTTCTCTGATCCGTTAAATTTTCCTTACAGCACTTGTCACTAGCTGAAATTCGTATACGTTTACCTGCAAGTTTATTATGTCTTTCCCTTTATCAGAACATAGCTTCATGACAGCAGGGAACTTATTTATCCAATATCTAGCCTTGTTTGTGCCTGGCGTAAAGTTAGCTCCCACTAGGTTTCTGTTGAATATGTAAATGAATAATATTCAAATAGAGCCTAGATGCTAAAAGAAGAGAAGGAAAATGTGTTTATGAGAATATATTTCTAAGGCACTGAATGGCTCAAAGGATATTAGAAAAAATTTTCTCAGGGGTTCAAAAAGTTTTGAGCAATGTTTATATATTCAATTGATTGATTTATTTAATTGATTCAATTGATTGATTGTTTATATATTCAATTGTTTCTTATGCCTGTAATTCAAGGCCTAGCCTCTTGTCAACAGTTGAAAGCCTTTTAGATCATCTATACAGAGAAGATTGGGATAGAGTCTCATTAGAGACAACAGTCCAGATCAGACTACAGACTCTAAAAACTAGTTAGAGGACCTTTGGGCCGCTCTTCCATTCTGCCTTGATAATGCTATTACTAAGACAGTGACTCAAGCTATAACCAAATGAAACATTCACAAAAATGAAAAATTATTTCAAAATAACAAAAGTCCCAATTAAAGTCTTCTTCCACAGAAATAAACATTTTAAACCAATATGCCATTAGAGATTGGAAAGAATGAATCACTAATCTGGTAAATTAAAAATTTTGGCACAAACACGTTATCTCTGGCATTTTTACATATCCATATTTCATAATTAGGTCCATAACTCCTTTTCCTCACGTGAAGCTAATTCCTCTTTCAAGCTCAAAGCAAACCATATTTTAAAAACAGTTCAGTGCTTTCGTTTTGTGTTGATGTTCAGATAACCAGTTGTTTCAGATGTAACTTTTAAATAACCAATAATAAAACATTTGATATTAAGTGAATATTCAAATGTTAATGCCATAAAAAAAAGTTCTCTTTACGAATTTTATAGAATCTTTCATCACAGATGCTCAGATGTTGGAGTTCACTTCATCTAATTGTTTTCCACAGCAGCAGGCAATTTAACTTACAGTCTCCTGGGGTACCTATTAAACATACAGATTCCTTAGTCCCATTCAGAGAGTTTCTGTTTCTATGCATCTAAGCAGAGGTCCAGGAATCTGTATTTGTTTAAAAGGCTTTCCAGGTGTCATTAAGGCCTGAAAACAGTAATTTTAATCCAATTTCCAACTTAGTCCAGAACACTTTTTCCACATTTCTTTTTTTTTTTACTTGAAGTATAGTTAATTTACAATGCTGTATTAGTTTCAAGTGTACAGCAAACTTATTCAGTTATATATATTCTTTTTCAGATTCTTTTCCATTATAGGTTATTACAAGATATTGAGTATAGTTCCCTATGCTAAACAATAGGAATTTGCTGTTTACCTATTTTATATATAGTAGTATGTATATGTTAATCCCAAACTCCTAATTTATCATATTCCTAACAAATTGTTGCTCAGATGTGTTTTGAGCTCTTCCGGAGGGGATAATCCCATCTCCGTGTAGTTTGTTAACATCTATTGGAAAGGTCTGATTATCAGAAAACTGTTTTTACTTTAAACTGAAATGGGTCTGCAGTGGCTTCCTCCCGTAAGTCTAGCTCTGCCCTCTGGCATAACAAGGGTTATTATATATGAAAGCCCTTCATGCATTTTAATGCAGCTTTCAGGTACCCACAGGTTTTTCTTCTACAGCTAGAGAGCTGGTTTCCCAAACAACTGCTCACAGACCCTATATCATCCAAAGTATGCCTGCACCCTACTGCACCATCCATATTCTCTTTTCAGAGCCTTCCCCTCCACCACTGTCAGAAGTAGAGTCCCTAACCCAGCTATGCGCCATTTGACCCTGCCTAGCAGTGGAGCAGCATGTTGCCAGAGATCATATGGAACCGTACATATCCTACACTGTTGCTTCTCAAATGCTGACATACCAAATGACACTACAAGGTGAAGAAAATGTCACCAGTCTATGCTGAAAGGAGAAAAATGGCTAAGTTCATTCAATCTAAAAGACTGTAGTACTTTCTTCCTGTATCGTGATCTGCCCAGGTCCTTTTGAAATTTTTGTTTTAAATGAAACTATAAGGATAATAGATAGTTTGCTTCGTTGGTTGGTTTGTTATGCTAGAAAGTCAGCCATCTTATATTGATGAGTCCTATTTCTTTAAGAGTTGTACTGGTCCCTGAAGACCAAAATCTGGGAACAACTGACCTAGACTTGCCTCCCGTGCTGATACACCGATGTTCTCTACTCCAACCCTTTCCTCTGGAACACCTACCACTTTACAAGACACAGTGGCTCACAAATCATTAGATCATTAGAATCAACGGAGTTTTATGAAAATACAGATTCCCAGGGCCAAACATCAGAAATTATGGTTCGGTAGGTCTAAGGTGAGTCTTGGTATCTGCATTTTTAAAAGCTCCCCAAATGATCCTGATGTTCGTCCAGGATTAGAAAGCACTTTCATGATATGCATTTATTCAGTGACTCTCTTCCAGGTATTTATAGTTTAAAATCACCAGGGAGTGGGGTTGATTAGGAAAGCAGGAGTCTGATCAAGTATATTAAAGCAGCCAGGCAGATTGTGATATATAAATGTTTAGCCAGCTTCCTCCCTTAGATATGGACACATCTGCAGTTGGTATCCTTTCCTCCTCTTCTAGCCTTTCTCTTATCAAGCCAGGTATTCTCTGCTTTAGGTTTAGACATACTTGCTCTACCTGCCCAATTCTACCCAGGAAACTGACCTCAACACTCTTGGGTTCTATCAATATTCCTATTAAAGGGTAATACCCATAACTGGACATAATACTAATACATAATAACCCCCTTAATAATCTGGATACTAAACATTCTATTAATATAGCTTCAGATCACCTTCACTTTTATAGAGGCACCAGCAAACTGATGTTACTTGAGGTTTGGACCAATCCATACTATTTGGTTTTACCTGAATTTCAACAAGCAGGTCTCCTTCATTCAATACAACTGATGTTTACAAATACAATTTCAAGTTACACATTTATTCAAGTTAT